TATTTTCTATGCTCAAAGCAACAAATATGCTTGCGACAGTCTGACATTTTGCCGAGCTAGTGCATTCAAAATTCAAAGATCCCACTGAGATTTCCACGAATTAGAACTAAGTTCTTATATTTTATTGCAAAAATCTTGTAAACACATTGTATTCATACAATATCTGGGGCTTAATTCAATAAAACAATAATTAATGGCGACACAACTGTTTGTAAATTTAAATGGACAATCGTGCGTCACCGCATTCTGAACGCGACGAAACAGATTCACGTTCCGTTCCGCATTGGATTCATGTGAATAAGTTTTGATTTGTCATGTTCCCCTGATAAAATTTTTTTATCAATGTAATGACAATTATTGGAAAAAAATATCTTGTGACAGGTTTTATTTCAAGAAGTTTAATTCTTTTCAATAAAAACACATAAAATTTTTTTGAAATAAAATGATGCGTATAGCTGGAACGGAAAAATGATAATTAAATACAAAGAGTTACTGATATCCATTACTAATCCAAATCCAATATGTAGTTGTTTCACCGTGTAATAACAAAAGATATTCAATCCATTGTTACTGGGTTTTGTGTGTAGACATTACATTTATACGCGTATTGTCAGGCACCATGAAGTTGTTGAATTAGTTAGAACAATTACCACGGCAAATTGTAATATCCACTTTCATTTTTATGCTTAACATATTAACTGAGCTATAATAAATATTTTAGACCGCTTTATTTGATGCAATAATTTAAAACCTTACGTAATTATTTAATTAACTATAAAAGGATAGCGATTTTTTTTAATTTAGGTACTTACTTTAATATAAAATTAATCCAATAGAACTTATTTGCGGATGTAAAATTTTGTAGTGTATTTTTTTATATTTTTACTTTTTTAAAGTATATTATTACCACTAATTTTAATTTTAATTTGAGTTAGTTTTGCTTTCTCTGTTAAATAATTTTTAATAGCCTTTCTAACTTTTACTAATGATGACGTTACAGAGTGAGCTGAAGGTTGGCTATATTTTTATTGAGCATATAAAAAGTAATATTTAATAAATTGTGAACTTACAGCCACATACAGGTATTATTATTATCTATGTCATTAATATATATTATCTATTCAATAAACTTATAAATTAACATTTTACAACATAAGTAGGTAAAATAATGTTTACGTGAATCAAATACAAACATGGTTTTTTGCGTATTTCGTGTTGATGTTTAACTCAATCAAATAGCCTTTAAGTTAGAAAAAGACTGATTTCAAATAATTGTAAAAGAATATTTTTACCCAAACTTAAATTACGGAGTAAAAAAGAGCTTACTCCTCTCTAAAGACCGGCAACGCATCTGCAATTCGTCTGGTGTTGTGGTTGTTTATGGGTGGTGGAAGTCACTTACCATCAGGTGAGTCGCATGCTCGTTTGCCCCCTCTTCTATAAAAAAAGTAAAATCAATCGTAACTTTAGGAAGACATTCCATAAGTTCACATAGAGTATCTTTTTACAACCAAAATGATATAGCAATAGCACAGATTAAATAATGTTACTACGTATGCGATAGTCAACGCAAGGGTTATGTAAGTTTATTATAGTAGGTATCTATAGAGATCGCTAACGCTATCAGCCCAATAGATTGTCAGCAGTACCTATGCTTTAGATTTGCATTTTCAAATAGCACAAAGCTAAAGCCTTTTTTATTTAACATTAGATATAAAATAACATCTGGACCAATAAGTACTGTTCCTGTATTTCTAAAACTTTATACGAACCTCCTGCTTACATCAACTACACAATGATCACTTATTTGTAAATATTCAGCTAGTATCCAGAAACTGATGGAGGGCAATTTTACATGTTAGAGCCACACTACAACTGTAGATATTTCTATAAATCCTAAATATATAAAACTAAAGTATGCAAGTTTAGTTTAATATATTTTATATTAATAAGCACTCAGTTTTCTTTTAAAGAAACAGTTATACGTTGATAGCCTTGATCTTGATTGAGCAGCGTTTAGCTCCGTCCTATTTTATGGCTCCGTACAAAAATCAATCTATTCTATCACGCTTACTTCGCGTTCCTAATACGATTCCAATAAAAATTAATTAGGTAAGTTTATTTTTGCGTTTGGAAATCATTATGTGGGCCTGAAGTTAAGAAATTAGTGCATGTCTGGAGAAAACGAGGTTGAATTTGACATTTTATTTATGAAACATAAAAGTGCTCTTATTTAGATTTAGCCGCTATTTGGTGGACTTGTTAGCTCATTAGTCATTTTAATATAAAAATGATAAATCATTGCGATTACGATGCGGCCAGCGGCACTACGCGTGTGACAACAGCACACCGAGTAGTTTCGCTTCGATATTTATATCTAGTGGTTGATTAAAACTACTTCATACGGATTTTAGGTATCGCGTTTAATTTACTTGATTTTTAATTCCCGACTAATCGAGTGCTTTCCAGCACCATTATATGGCTAAGGTTGATACGGATATTAAAATCTCTTTTATAGTAGGTAACTCTAGTGTTTGTGTCAGGATCAAAAAGGCCTACAAAAACTGCATTGGCATCTAATGGTGTTAAATCTGTTAACAGACAGTTAATCGGTAAATTTGAAAAGTATGTAAAAGAATATGTTGTCGGGATTGGACCAAATGAACATCCGTTGTCTCTGCCTACCCCTATTGGTGACTTGGTTATTTTATGTTAAATATCATCAATATCAAATTATGGTTTTACTTGCTTTGAATCTAAAAAATTAGCCCCACTGAATGTATTTGCCAAAAAATTTACGCGAGGGCAAGTAAAACAATAATCGTAATAGCCATTTAAAAGAGATAAATCAATTTATTTAACGTTGGAAAGGAGAAAAATATTGCTTTAAATAACAGTAATTGTTCAGTCAAGAAAAAAAAAGATTATGTTCTATTTAAATCATTTGGTCTAAAAGCAAAAACGTCTTAAAGTAATTCATTCATGTAGGTATCGAAAAAACCTCTTTAAATGGAGAACGGTTGCCCGGCAAGGTTATTTTTAATCGGTGTTCAAAAACGTATTAAATTGCGATTTAGGTTATGTTTCATTATCTTTCGCGGAAACTATAATTTGTTGTGCAAAATGAACAATGATTTTGTAGACTAATGTAAGGTAATAGCACCCAGCCATCTTGCTTATTGAAATTTTGATGTTTTTAGGATTCCGTACAGATTTCCGTAAAGAGCCGTGGTAGCTCAGATGGTTAACGCTCGCTGTAAATATAACAGAACGCGAGTAACCCGGGTTCAATCCCCGCCGGCACCAATGAAATTGTTAATTGCAATTTTAAGTGCTGATATACCACGTGCTCGGCGGTGAAGGAAAACATCGTGAGGAAACCTGCATGTCTGAGGAATAAGAAAAAAAAAAGCATTTCGAAGACATGTGAAGTTCGCCAACTCGCATTGGGGCAGCGCGGCGGACACTTCCATGTCCTAAAACCCTTAAAGGGAGGGGAGGCCTGTGCCCAGCAGCGGGACGTATATAGGCTGTAACTTTACTTTTTACTTTACTAGGATTCCGTAATTAAATAAAAAGGAACCCAATATAGTTTCGCCATGTCTGTCCGTCCGTCCGTCCGCGGTTTCACTCTGAGACCCTAGTTATAGATATTATTCACGCCTACAAAACTGTGAAATAAAATTTTGAAAGACATTTTTAATTTGTGTACCTGCCATAACGGTAAAGGAAGGATAGCTTTTTGTTTGCCAGTCTATTCCTTCGTGTGGGGCGTTTTGGAGAGGTCTTTCATAAATATTTGGGTATGGAACAACATTTTTTTCGATTCAGGGATTCATTTGCGAAATATTTAGCTTTAAAATGCTATTTTTGGTAATTTTATACCATCGCGGTCACTTCGTTTTTGCCACTACTGCTTACGTACACGCTTCACGTGCACGCTATTTCCACTACTGCTTACGTATTCGTTGGGTTATGTCGGTTACTCTGGTTTCACTCGGATATCCTCATTTTTAAGTCTATCGTGCAGAAAAACCTCGAGCATATCCTTCTGAATAGCTCGCTGAGCGACTTTGAGTTTTCTCATACGCCCAGTCGTGAAGGACCACGTCTCAGATCCGTAAGTCATTACTGACAACACGCACTGGTTGCACATTGCACAATCTTGTTTTGAACATTTGATGTATGCCTGACAAGAAGATGGGTCGTAATCTACCCTAAACTCACTTTTTATGCTCATATTATCAAGAAGGCCCCTTCTAAATTCAAGTATTGTGACGAGCAACAACGGAACCCTACGCCTACATTGTTTGTGACCCGACACGCACTTGCCAGTTTTTACTTATTTATTTCAATAGCCTTGTAACTCGGGTTATCTATGACATTGTGACGTCATGACGGGTACGGTAATGGTAAAAACCCAAAACGTTGCGATTAATTCACTAAACAATAAAAATAAATTAATATAAATGCGATAAACTTTATAAAATTAGTTTTATTCAATGTATAAATTATGAAATAATTCCCTATGATGAAATATAAGTGTCCCCTATGCCGGTGATGGTTGATTTTATTTCATTACGGAAGAAATTATGATTTCTGTTAATAATAAAATTTAATGTAAAAATTATTAAAAAAAAACTAAAAAGCTAGATTTACCGAACTCATGGTATCATAGACTAAACTGTTATGCTTTATAATTAGTTTTGTGATTATAATGCATGCCGAACATTAAATTAGTATTTACTGTACTCTACGAATGAAAATAAAATTGTGAAATACTTTATCATTTATATTTATTAATACCTATATATATACAAAACATTATCTGGCTGAAACATAAAAATATAATAGCCTCTACGGCTCCCATTAGTGTACAGATGCATTAAAAAAAAAATTTGGCGCGAAAACATTTCGTTTGCTAACTCTGCTAATAGTTGGTCAATAGTTAATGTTTCAAGTACGTCTTGCTCATAATATCTGTGATCTATAATTTAAAAATGATGGAGAAAGCAGAGTTACCTGTAGATACGGCTTGTGAACCTGTTGAAGAAGCTCGGCAGTCTGTTGTAAGTAGTTAATTGTTTAAGTTCAATTTTTATAATCGCGCCAAAAAATTAGTTTTTCATAGTAAAATTTGATTTTAAAATTCAAATTATTTTTGTGTCCGTATTCATCTGTACTGTTGCCCGTGCCATAAAGATACAGCCTGTATACGTGTCACTTCTGGGCACAGGTCTTCTCACCCGACAAGGAAGTGATGGTTAACTTCACTTGTTTGGAATATTTATTTTCTCAGACATGCACGTTCCCTTAAGATCTTTTTCTTTTTCGTGGAGTACGTGGTAAATCAGCGTTTAAAATAGAAATTAACAATATCTTATTGGTTCCGGGTTACTCGCGTACTGTCAAATTTAGAGGGAGTGCTTATAGCCCTTGAGAAAAAATCAGTAGAGAACCATCGACCCCACAATATCATCCAGTAGGTGTCGTAATTCTTCATGGGGGCTATACATCTTCTCGTCAAGTATCTCTGAAAACTAGATTGTACAACCAGTGCGTGTTGCCAATGATGACTTACGGATCTGAGACGTGGTCCTACACTGCTGGCCGTATGAGGACGCTCAAGGTCGCTCAGCGAGCTATGGAGAGGGCTATTCTCGGAGTTTCTCTGCGTGATAGACTCAGAAATGAGGATGTCCGCAGTAAAACCAGAGTAACCGACGTAGCCCAACGGATTAGTAAGCTGAAGTGGCAATGGGCCGGCCATAAAGCTCGAAGAACTGATAACCGATGGGAAAGAAAGAAAGGTTCTCGAATGACAGCCTCGTACCGGTAGGCGTACGAGGGCGGCACTGAAAATTTCGGGAATCAAGGAAGTGACACAACATTACTATTTAAAAATGTATTTATTGCTTTTCGAAGTATTCTCCGCGAAATTTGACACATTTTCCATACGATGGAACCAATCATTGAAGCAACCATTCCATTCGGAAGTTGGGGTCTCCAAAATGGCCGTTTTGTAGGCGTCCACAGCTTCTTCAGGTGATGAAAATCTCTGGCCACGCAATTTATTCTTTATTTTAGGGAATGTATAGAAATCATTAGGGCTTAGGTCGGGGCTGTACGGCGGATGGTCTAATAATTCTATGTTTTCTTGCTCTAAAAACTCTTTTGTTTTGTGTGCGGTGTGAGAACTCGCATTGTAGTGATGGAGGATGATGCGGCGGTTGCAGTTCTCTTTACGGAGTTCAGAAACGACCTGTGGCAAACAAACAAACCGTTCTTTGTCCCTCAAGAGGAATAGTCGTAACATGGCCGGTTTTGGAAACAAACGTGGCCACCATTTTTTTTGCAACACTCCGTGTACGAACAATTTTTGTTGGCTTTAACTCATTTTCGAACACCCAAACACGTTCGGGTTTTTTGTTTCGGGTTCGTACGCGTATATCCCTCACCTATACGATGTTGTATACAGCATCTGAGGATCCTGCGTGGAATCTTTCGAGAGTTCTGACGCACCAAGTAACGCGAGCCGCTTTTTGCTCTTAACAGAGCGAATGCGGCATCCATCGGGAAAACAACTTTTTTTACACCTAATTGTTCATGGAAGATTATTTGTATTTGACTCATGCCAATGTCTAAAGTTGCCTGAATTTCGCGGTATGTCACATGTCGATCTTCCTCAATCAGCTTACGCACAGCATCAATGTTTTCTTGGGTTTTGCAGTTTTTGGACGACCTTGACGGGGATCATCACTGAACTTGACACGTTCACGTTGAAATTCAGCAAACCAGCGATAAATTGTGGTTTTGGATTGGGCCTCATCACCAAATGCAGAAATCATCCGGTTAACACACTGTTTTTGTGTTAAACCACTTCGAAAGTCGTAATAAATCATCGCTCTTGAATTTTCTCGAGTCAATTCCATTTTCTCAACGACTAAACAAGTTTGACAAAACCTTGTGATAAGACCGAGAATCTTTTTTTTTAATAAATAAATGGTATTCGATTTTTAAAACCAAGGAGTTTTCAATTAAAAAGATTTTAATATGACAGGAACAGTGGAAATATTCCATTCCCGATACTTTTAGTGCAGCCTGTGTACTGTAAGGCGACCGCCACTAGATGGAGTGACGACCTGGTAAGATATGCAGGAAGTCGATGGATGCAGGTGGCTCAGGACCGTGCTTTGTGGCATTACTTGGGGGAGGCCTATGTTCAGCAGTGGTCTTGTGAAGGGCTGTAATGATGATGATGATGTGTCTTAACTCCCCCATCAGGCAATCTGTGGGGAGAGAATATATGGAAGGAATTTTTGATAATTTTAATCAACACTACTTTTCAATGGTATATCGTAATTATTGTTTGCCCCCCCCCCCTCCTTGATTGTCTTCGGAAAGATATTAGGGAGTAGGCAATCACGGTTTATTATTGTTATTAATGAGTTGGGCAGCAGCGTCTTGCTACTAACATCCTGTTTTTGTCATTTCCATTCCATTTTACCATTTTTATTTTCCTTATAATATTGCGTATAGATTCCTATAAGCAAACACAGCGCTACACAACACTACACGGCAAATGTATCAGCTGCTTTATGTTAACTATAAATGCGATTATTAAATGTCTCAGACTCAGACAGATACCTTTGCCTGCCTCTTTGCTCTAGTATCGTAAACGCGATCATGTGTTCCCGGGTTCGAATCCCGGGTCGTGCCAAAATCAAATATTGGGTTTTTCCATTATGTAATTCTCAGTAGCAGGCCGGAGTCGAATATCGTAAAGCCATTGATCCTGCGCCCAATCTCTCTCCGGTCGTCGAGTACCGTCCCCCCGGACTATGAGAGTAAGGAACAGAAAGTGCACCTGTGCTGTCGCATACACTCGGACACTATAATCCTGTCCTGCGCTGATAGCTATCCGTATGGACAGGTCGTCGTGACTGGGATTCGGTCTGGAGGACATTATTAAATGTCTATTTAAATAAATTTACGAATATTATCGCGCTTAATTATTACTTTTTACTGAGTTATGGACTCTTAAGAATTAATAATTGAAAAAATGAATAAATCGATAAATTATTTAAGAGTATATTAATATTTCCACAGGAGGGACATGATGTCATATCTGTTTCAAGTAGAGCAAACAGTCGTTTAAATTTTACTAACGATACGAAGGAAAACAACTCCCAAAGCCTAACTCAAAGCAGGTAAGGTCTGACTGAAAATCTAGAAAATACGTAGATATTTTATTCATGACTTGAGGTTTGATATTTTAATTTGCTTACGGATTTGTCATCATCTATTTACTTGTCATTAAAATATATATTTTATATCTGATACCCGCTCACTTCGCTGGGCGCACGATAATATTTTAATGCGGAACCTAGATATAAATTATCAAGATTTTTTTTGATGGGACTATCGTTCTTAGTAAGCGCGAAATGAGTAACTATACTAAATTTGAAGTCAATCGGGTGTATAGTTTTAAAGATCTCGTGTGTCAGATGAGTTAGTCAATCAATGGTATTTACACCATACACGCTTATACATACATATAAAGAATAAGGGTGACAAAAGACTACACAGCCCACTTGAAGATAAGTGGATGCTGGCCCATAGACATCTGCATATATCCTCGATTAGGAATCAAAATGCAGAATCCAAAAGGATAAGGGGAAGGGAAAAAGAAAGAATTTCCGGTTCTCTACACTCAACATACATTATTAACATAGCAGAATTAAGCTGCTATTTTATGCTGGTATTATGTGAGAGATACTATTTACCCAAATCGAGTCGACCCATTCGTGCTACAACCATAATATTGCTGCAACATGGCTAACTTCATAACGTGTCGCATATTGTGAAGAAAATTTTTAAATAAATTACTATAATGGATAATTTCTTCGTACACTACGTCGCCCAAGTGCTCTTTGTACAAATGACTAGTTACGTTATTTTACAGGAGAAGGTTTTTTCAAAGTTTAATTTCATTAAAATAATGTTTATGGATTTAGAAAAGACGTGTAGATGAGTATGGGGGTAACATTTATGTTTACCGTTACACATCATCCCGTGGGTGTCGTAAGAGGCGACAGAGGGTACCAAATCAGGAGATGGACAGCAAAAGTCTTCCTAATAACGGCTAAAAATAAAAAAAATAAACTGCGGTTGCCAACTCGCTTACCAAGCGTGGCAACTATGGCAAAATCACCACTATGAGACAGTTTATGGGGGAGGTTTATGTTCAGCAATGGACTTTAATGGGCCTAAGCGGTAACATAGGTAGACGCTTAAAGAGTGTTTATAAATAGTCAAGTCCTGAGTAATAGGACGTGTGTGTAAGTATACGTGGTAGAGCCATGCTTTAGTTATATTAGTAGTATGGTTGTAGCACGAATGGGTTGGCTCGTCCGGGGAAGGACCACGCTCTCACAGAATACCAGCGTGAAATAGTAGCTTAATGCTGCTGTGTTTCGTATGGTGAGTGTAGAGAACCGGAGACCCTTTTTACTGGAAAAGAGGCATTCCATCTTAGTCCTCAAGGGTGACAACGCATCTGCATTTTGATTTGTAATCGAAGATAGATATAGATGTCCATGGGCCGCACCAACCACTTACCATCAGGTGGAGTGTGTGCTAGTTTGTCACACTATCATATAAAAAAAATAGGGTAGAAGTAGCCAGCGATAGTGTAGTGGTTTAATACTAATTAAACCACTACACTATCGCTGGCTACTTCTGTTTTAGTTGTTAATGTTATGCGTACACGTTACAGCCTATAGACGTCGATGGGCACAGGCCTCTAATTTCTGAGAGGGTTTTAGTGCGAGGGAATTTCCGCCGCGTTGCCCCAATGCGTGTTCACATATCTCGAAATTATTTTGTTTTCTTAATTCTCAAACATAGAGGTTTCCTCACGATGTGTTCCTTCACCGCGGAGCATAGGACCAAACTGCACACGGTGTGCATATTTGATTAAAATCGGTTAAGTAGTTTAAGAGTCCATCGCGGACAAACAACGTGACACGTAATTTATATATATTAAGATTTTCCTCGCCCCATAAGCGAAGCGTTGAGGTTGTACTCTACTCTCACCTAATGGAAATTCAGTAAATTTTTATTATAATAAAAATACACATATATCGAGAAAAATCGTAGTAAAAAGTAATTTTCTGTGTTTAATGTAAACACAAACTGATTGAAAAAAATTTCGAGGGTGATGATTTACGGTCGTTAGAATTAATGTATCAAAATAATTCTTTTTTTATTAGGTTCAGAATCTCAACGCACAGGTTACTTTTAAAAATCACTGAGTAGTTTGGTCTCGTTTAATTGTAATTAATGAAAATGTAAAAAACAACTAGGACTTTTCTATAAAAAAATATTCTCAAGGATCTCTTCTTTCATTTTAAATATGGAAAAAGAGATGTTTTTCTTTTTATATAATCGAATGAGATTATGAGGCGTGCAGTTTTGGATTTTCTAAACTTTTGTACTCTGCAAGATACAACACAAGTTCTTTAAAAAAAATACGTGTGGCACTCAGTGACTGCCGCGGTAAAGCTATTGCATAGCATTTTTTAGCAACTTATGCAATTATAATTATTTATTTATTTTATTTATGCAGTTAAGTCTTTGATATTAAATCAAGTTACACTTTTTGAGCGTGGTGACCGATAAGAAAACAATTTTTTTTTTTCTCTTATTGATTAAATGAGAAGTTAATATTGATTAAAATATTTTTAATGTCTTACAATACATGTAGGTTATTCAGGAATTTTTATCATTGAGTTAGCAGCTAGTGTACACGCATACGTCTAGTCGCACGCACACAAACACCGTGCCGAAGTCTGCCGAGTGCCGAAGTCTGCCGAACTGAAACGACGTTAGACGACGCACGGCTTTCAACGCCACACCTCCGTGCCCGTCGGAGTGGGGAGCGTGAGGTTTTTTTTCGTTACGGAATTTCTGGATTCGGTCCCCGCGCTCAAGGCCCGCGATAGAAGCTATGCAATAGCTTAAAAAACCTCAGAATTGAAAGAAGTCGACCATAGGTAGAATGGAAGCCTGTTTATTTTTTAGCATATATAAGGATATTCTTAGTCAACCGGTGGGTCTCTCACACCGTGAGAGATTACTGTGGCTTCAGAAGCGTAGAACGGAGGGGCTTTGGGCGCAATGCGATGAGTGCAACCTCTGGCGTTATCTCCCACACGTCCTTGATCGCTACGAGCTACCTCACAAGTGGTACTGTAACATGAATCCAGGTACTTATCTATTTTTTTATAGAATAAAGGTGACAAACGAGCATACAGTCCACCCGATGGTAGGTATACTGTGGCTCAATGATATCTACATCTATCTTCGATTAAGGCCGTTTTCCGACCTGTCGGTGCGGGAGCGGTGCGAATTCGTTTCGCTCGTTATACGCCACAGAGCAAATCCGTGGTATACGCGGTACCGTAAGCACGGTAATTTTATTACCGTGCCGAAAGCTTGCCGAGCGCATATATTTTAATGTGCGTCTTCTAATTGGCGCGGTATGTGCGGGAGCGGGGAGGGATCGTTTCGTTTTACCGCGTCTCGGGATGCGTGTCCACCGGCCGCGGCCGCTCGACATTTACCGCGCACGGTCGTGCAAACAAGATGGCGGAGCGATATATTCACGTCGTTTTAGTACTAGAAATTGAACATTCTCTAATTTTGTTTTGTTAATACTGTAGTCAACAAATTCAAAAGCTCTTCGAAGTTTTTTTGATATTCTATAGATCAATAAAAAAAACAACGGGTTGCACTCCGGGAGTGCCGGCAGAAGTGAAAACTTGAATATTAACATTGTGTATTTTTGATATTTTGGAATGATGAGGGAATAATTTTGCACGAATTGCTTTAATTATTACACACGAACAAAGAGGAACCCATATGGCTGGTCCGAGGTGGAGGGCCGGCCCGAGGTGGCCACTCCGATTGGGCTTGGGAAGCCCACTTCGGATGTGTGTTGGTGGACTGCGGTGAGAGGTGTGTCCTCCCCACCTACCGCTGCAGCCGAGGTGGAGTCGCGGAGGAAGAGGAGTGTTGGTATGGCGATGCGCCACTCGCCCTATCCTCCGCGACTCAAACGGGGCCGCACCGTTGATGCGGTGGTGATTGGGCTGCGGGGGGAGAGGATTGTCGGTATTGCGAGGCCCCGCTCTCCCTATCCTCCGCAGCCGAATCTTGGTTGGCGGCGGAGCCATAGACCAGATCCGCCGCTGGGGTCGGGAAGGCTAGTACTTCTAAGTGCTCGTTTTTCCTGGCCCCATGGCCTTCGCGCATCGGACGCGGGAGCGTCTGTTGCGCAGATGTAATTGGAGGCCGTGGAGGAAGGCGTGCCATGTGTTCTGGTGCGCCTTACTTGGGAAGGAGAACGGGGAGGAATATTCCTCTCCCGATGAGGTGCTGCCATGGGGCGGCAGTCGCTGGTGGGGCCGCGGATGTGTGCGAAAGCGTTCCCGTAGCCCTGCCGATATGCGACGAAGGTGGAACACCATGGGGTTTTAGTCGGTGCGAGTCCGACATAACCCGTCCTTGCCCCCGCGAGGCGGGTATGCGTAGGCATTTCCCCATGTTAAAAAAAAAGGCATACATTTTCGCCGCGCCGTAGAGCCGAAGTACTTCCTCTTCTACGCCGCGCTACGTAGTACTATTATTTATTCTGTGGCAGCACCGGCTGTCTCTCTCTCTCCATCCGTCTTACGAATTTTCGATCAGGGTCCCGTGTCCTGACGCGAGTTTAACATTTTTTACCCATTATAAAAAGTGTACAATGCCGCTAAAGAAGTTTTCACTTCAAAAATTTCGTCGTCTTGGGAAAGTTCTTGGGCCGCAACAAAAAGTCGACAATTAATATTATTTTCGATATATGGATGACGCTAGTAACGTTTTCTTTTTTACGTAGGCGACAATCCAAACAGCACGCCCAAATATCGTCATCACTCGAAGACGACACCTTCGGTACTGCAGGATTTTACACCGATAAGTGAGTAGCTGAAGGCAACGCGGTATCGTTTCGGTACAGACCTTAAAGATCCCGCACTGCTCCCGCATCAATAAGTCGGAAAACGGCCTAAAACTCAAAATACAGATGCGTTTTCATCCCTGACGACTTAGATCGAATGCCTCGTTTCCAGTAAAAAGGGTCACTGATCCGTTTTAATCATCATACGAAACACGGCAGCATTAAGCTGCTGTTTCTTTAAGAACATGTCCAACTCGGTAGAGTCGACCCATCCGCTAATATAGCTGCAATGAGGCTTTACCACGTATAAATGCCGACTATGTATGTACGGATTAGTAAGCTGAAGTGGCAATGTGCCGGCCATATAGCTCAAAGAACAGACAAACGATGGGGAAAAAGGTTCGTGAGTGGCAGCCTTGTACCGGTAGGCGTAGTGTAGGGCGACCCCCACTAGATGGAGTGACGACCTTGTATGACGTGTAGGAAGTCGATGGATGCAGGTGGCTCAGGACTGTGTTTTGTGGCTTTCCTTAGGGAAGGCCTATGTTTAGCAGTGGACTTGTGAAGGTCTGTAATGATGATGATGATGATGTATGTACAACCTGATTCCTGTGATAGTATTTTCACATTATATAGACTATTGCAAATCCAACATGGCCGTTATTGATAAGGTTTGATTCTATCGCATCGATCTATACAATTAGTTTACTGTTGGAATATAGTCATTCAAAGTCAATGATCAAAATAAATTCAAGTCAGTAATCGTATATTTAGACATACATTTACAGCCTTTAAAAGACCGCACATAGACCTTTCCATAAATTGCCACATAGAGTGAATTATGCCATATTTGCCACGTTTGACATGTGGCTTTGGAACCGCAGTTTTATTAATAGTTTCGAGTTGATATCAGAAAGATGATTTCCCTGTATCGCGGAGGCCTCCGACATACATAAATGGTACATTAATAACCCGGTATCGTTATTTTGTAGGTCATACAAATATTTGTTCCGTGTGGCATTCGAACCAATGGCCCGCAACGCCGCAGCCTAACGTTCAACTAATGCGCCACCGTGCCACAGATTAAATAATTGTACTAACGTAATTGCTAATTTGACATTATAGAGCAATACGGGTCACTGGCGAATCGGAGGGCAGTAGCCGCGGGCGTTACCCTGTGTCAAATTAAAAGTCCACGCGATCCTATGCGTATAACCTTTGATCATATTATTGATCGAAGCATATAACTTCAACTTGCGCGGCTGAATCGACGGGCTACAAAAATACAATTGTTCAGTTTTTTGCTGCAAGAGATCTGCCATGTCAAATTTAATAAAAAGATGATACTTTCATATAATAAGATATTTAAAACATTATAAAAATAATGGTCGCGTTGTTTCGGATTTGTTTACCAACTCAGGACGATCGCCTTCATACAAAATGCAAATCGGTCGAGCGACACATCCGAGTCTGTATCGGAGTTGTCGCTGTTACCGAGCGTTATAAAGTATCTATGTGTGTGTGAAATTGTTAGAATATTGTTTTAATTGTTATGTGTGTGTTTCTTAGTGATAGACGATTGTATTTGTGACCATTTTCTATTGGAGGAAAACGCTATGTCTACTCCCCTCCGATCTGCCGGTTGCCGGTGTTACTGTACTCTATGTTTGACACAGAGGACTGACGTGTATCCATCCAACACAAGCAATACTAGTTAACTATTGTTGTGTTAGATACTGTAATAACATAAATTAAATTCTTTATTGCGTGTCTAAAGTTACAGGAAAATAAATACCGATCGGTCTAGAAACTGGTTTACTTCTTGTACACAGGTAAAACAAAATATGTAAGATAAAACATGCAATTTTAAACGTGGTAGAGCCACGCTACAGCTATATAATGGTTGTAGCACGGATGGGTTGGCTAGGAAAATATTTTAGTAACTAAATAAACTAACTAAAGTATCTAACAATGAACATAAAGATAAATGCAACAGAATTATACAAATGGCAATGCTGTTATAGTTACACTTGCTAAGCACACAGTCCACCTGATAGTAAGTGGTTGCTGTGGCCCATAGACACCTACATCTACGAGTATCTTCGATTTCGAATCAAAATGCAGATGCGTTGTCACTCATGAAGACTAAGATGGAATGCAACGTTTCCTGTAAAAAGGGTCTCCGGTTCTCTACACTCACCATACGAAACACAGCAGCATTAAGCTACTATTTGACGCTGGTATTCTGTGAGAGTGTGGTCCTTCCCCGGTCGAGCCGACCCATTCGTGCTACAACTATACTACTACTATAACTAAAGCATGGCTCTACCACGTATACTTACACACACGTCCTATTACTCAGGACTTGACGACGCACGACTTGTGTTCCGGATGCGCCTTACCTGGAAGGGAGAAGGGGGAAGAGAATTCTTCTCCCGAAGAGACACCATGGTGCGTCTGGCACCAGTGGGGCCGCGGATGTGTGTGAAAGCATTCCCGTGGCCCTGCCATTATGCGGCGAAGGTGGAACACCACGAGGTTTTAGTAGATGCGAGACTAACACAACCAGTCCTTGCCCCCGCGTGGCGGGTATGCATAGGCATAGCACCATGTAAAAAAGGAGTGGTGCATTAACTGTCTCATTATTTTGTAGATAAAAATTTAGCAAGTTGCTCTGCTCCCGAGGATCCAATCCATTTACGGGATGAAGAAGATCTCATACACAGTAGATTCGGAGCGGGTTCTGTAGTGTGGGCTCGATTGCCCGGTTGGCCTTGGTGGCCGGCTATGGTGGACGATTGCCCGGACACCGAACAGTTTTACTGGCTAGACGGCTTCTCCGATATACCGGTACGTTCATTGCCACATCTTTGTTTATTTATTCTTTATTGAAATAGAAAAGCAGTGATAGCAAACCTATGAAATGTAGATTAAACACAAGCTCTTAAAATGAGCTTTTCAAATGAAGTGATTTTTACGTATTTGTTTTTTATGTCATAAAAGTGAGAAGTGGCAAATAAATTTAAAAAAATATGTAGGTACGGGTATGTTGGTATCGTATATCTGAACTTTGAATTTATAAAAAAATCAATTGGACGTTGGCTAGTTGATTTTCTCTCCAACTCCAACTTTATGATGATACACATACTCCTTCGAGTATTTACATCTCTATATACATAGAAAGATCTATTGCTGTCCATTAGTCTCTCTAAAACTCAAAAACGAATCGACCGATTTTGATGAAATTTCATAAAGTCACACATAAAGTCATTCTTATAATCACACAGACATCACCCGTGCGAAGCCGGCGTAAATCGTTAGTCTATTAATTAATAATATATCGGGTGTCCCAGAAGTCGACGTCAAGCCGAAACTTTCTGATAGGCGAGGCCATACTAGTTACCAGAAAAATATAAAAAAATCTTTTGTAAAATAAGTAATAAATTTTATCATAAAAACGAAACTGACTGTCTTAATTTTATAACCATTATTTTATTACTTTAGTTTGTATTTGCATCTGTGTCTCATAAGCGTCACTATCTGTCTCGCTCACACTTTATGGAATGTCTCTCTCTATCTAATTTAAACCACGCTGTGGTCATTAATAACGTTTTGGTTGCACTAGAATCGTTTTAATGTAAGTTCCAAAAAATTGTTAAAAACTGACTTTGTTTAACAAAAATTTTTTTATGGCTCATCTAAGAAATAATGGAGTAAGTGTTATACCACGTTAGAATCCTTATTAAATGCGCTAACTTTTAAAGCTACTTGCCAAACTGGCGTAGTACAATTTTTTTCCAGGACGTTCAGTTGAAGTAGTGCGAAAAACTAATTCTGAAAACTTGGTTCGGTATAAAATTACATTTTCTTTAAAGCTGGAGTGATCGGTACAGGGTTTAGGATTAAAGGTTACAGAAGCACTATTCAGGATGATGTAAGAGAAAAAAATTGGCAAAAAGTAAATATTTGTAGCAACAGGAATGAAAAAACTTTCTCATGATGTACATTTTATAGAAAAAAGAAAAAATTACTATAATTTCTGAAATATATGACTTAGATTTTTTTATATTTTTCTGGTAACTAGTATACGGCTATCAGAAAGTTTCGGCTTGACGTCGACTTCTGGGACCACATGTATATTTCATAATATGTTATACAGGGTTACTGCAATAACTGTATATCATTATTAATGTATTTGAACTATAAATTAAAATTTGGTTACTCTTGGAAGAATAACCCCGTAAAACGTAATTTTCTTTATTCCTTCTTTGTTCCAATTCCTACATGGAGTAATGAAGGGACGACGGTCGACTGGGAATGGTGTAACTTGGTGCATTAATTCAATTGATACCACTGTATTATGTAGTCCACAAGCGTCTGTTGGCCATCGTATAACTCCTGAACGACAGGAGCGATTGAGATGAATACGATCTCCACGTTATACATTTTTTTGTCGATAAGGTGGTCCAAAACTACGCTAGGATCCGATAGTTTGAGCTGTAGTAAAGTTAAAAATAAATTCGATATTTATAGACCAATATGATTTATATTGACCATGTGTGTTAGCTTAATGCCATGGAAGAAAATCACAAAATCTGGAGCCAATAGCTGGCGACATGGAACTCATCGCGTCACCAACCGGACATAAAAATATTAAAATTTGACCCACTTTTCAAAATGGTTTGCCATCACGGACACTAGAATATTTAATCATAGAAATCGTTTCGAAGTCGTTAATTCAAGCGTGAATTAATTAGTGCTGAGACACCTACGTCTATGCTCGGTTAAGTCTTGTGTAAGGGTTGTTTCTTATATAAGAGGCAGACGAGCATGCGGCTCACGTAATGGTAAGTGGCTACCGCCGTCCATGAGCAACTGCAACACCAGGGGAAATGCAGGTTGCCTGTCTTTTGAAAAGGAGGAAGCTCGTTTCTGGAAGGTAACGGTCGAACTTCGTAAGCGATTCCACAAAGAAGTCGTGCGAAAAAGAAATCACACCGTAAATCGCATAGTAATGGATCGCCAAGCATCCAGATGATGTGGGTGGTAATGTGAGTTTTGTCGTGATGTGCATTTGTGGAATTTGGCGGCTGGAATTAATCCCCGTGATTCACAGCGCAATGGGTAAGTCTCAATTTGCGTTGGGTCACTTTATGAAGCCAGGCATTCTTCCATGTTTTATATACGTTCACTTACAAAATAAACTTACCTATCATTTTAATTTTAGAAATATAATAATAATGTCCTCCCGACCGAGTTAGTCACGGCGGCTGGCCTCAACCAACTTGCCAAATGCGCAGGTCAGGATTGTAATGCCCGAGTGTATGCGTAAACACAGGTGAACTCTCTATTTTTTCACCCTCATAGTCCGATGGAACGGCAAACCGACTCAACCGGAGAGATATCAGGTGCAGGACCTGCTTTACGTGCTCTCTGAGGCACGGAGCAGAAACACCGCCAATTCCCAGACTTCGTGCTGGCATTGAGAATTTCTTGACGAAAAAACCTAATAACTGATTTTAGCCCGACCATGGGTTCGAACCCAGGACCTCATGACCAGTAATAGTGTTTATGACAGCTAGACCAACGAGGCAGTACATATCGTTTAGTATTACATTGTCTTGAAGTCTTTCAATTGCAATATTGTGTTTTACTTCTATTTTCAGACCCATTATAATGTCGCGTTTTTCGATAAAAACGATGTCACCCGAGCTTGGATCGCAAGTGAAAATATTGTATCATATAGCAACAGTAAAAAATTAGCGGACCGTGGGTTACAAACTAAAGCATTTCGAAAGCGCTTGATAACAGCTATAAGACAAGCAGATGACGCGGCAAAGCTACCACTTTCATCTCGTCTCGCTAAGTACAGCTTCATAGCCAGATACAAAGGCAATATTTTAACCCCGGCTAAAATAACCAAAGCCGATATAGAAAAGTACAGGCGACATCTTAAACGAAAGTTTAACGTTGAATTACCATCTGATAGCTCTGACTCTGACACTGATAATTCTCCAGTTAAAAATCATGAACCTAAGTCTATCGAAGGAACACCGAAGAAGCAAAACGCTAAAGCGATGAAACCGAAAAAAATATTTAAAAAGGCTAAAACTCCAAACCGTGCAAACGAATTAAAAAAAGACAATATAGTTCCCGATAATAATAACACAGAAAATGCAGAAGTAAACAAGACGTTACAAGAGTCTAATTCTATGGCGGTTCATGTTGACAGTGCCCCGGATACTGTAATTGGCTCTTTTGATAATGGTAAATTTAATTTAATTGTTAATTCTTTCATCACTCACCATTCAATCATCATCATCATTACAGCCCTTCACAAGTACACTGCTGAACATAGACCTCCTCCAAGGGATGCCACAAAGCACGGTCCTGAGCCAACTGCATCCATCGACTACCTGCATGTCTTACCAGGTCTTCACTCCATCTAGTAGGGGGATGTCCTCTAGAATCTTTTTCCCTCATCGGTTATCGGTTCTTCGAGCTACATGGAATCGGCACTTAAAATTCCAATCAATAATTTCATTGGTGCCAGTGGGGATCCACGGCAATTAAGAGATGTAATAAAATAAAATAATAACTAATTATTCAGACATTTTGTTGCAGATACTTCTAAAACTTACCTTCCTGAATCTTTAAACTCTAATATAAGTGAGCCAGAGTCTCAGTATCCTCACGGCGGCGGTGCTTCACCTGCTAGCGGCGATTTTGACTTTATAGAAGATTAAAAAAATTTTAGAATTTATTTTTATAGATTATATTACTGTTGTTGTTTTAAGAGATCATTTGTGTAGTGTGATTAAAATATAATTAAAAGATAATTTTCTTACCATCATATTGTTTTTATTTTAACGTCCAATCTGCTCCACTTATCCACTACCACATATCGTGTGGTAAGAGGCAATAGTGGGACAGGGGGCAACAAAGCAGATGGGCAGCAGTGTTTTCCTAAAATTGCAAAGTGTGGCAAGTACGGCAATTATCACCTCTATAAAGCAATCCATAGATTGCTGTCTATACTTTACATACTTTACTTTACTTATCTTCACGCACAATCCCTAACGGGGTAGCCACAGAGAACAGATCGCCAATTGTCACGATCCTTACATACCTCTTTCGCTTCTTTCAGGTTCATTATCTTCTTCATACATGCACGTCTAGGTATCCGAGTATTCTTGACCTTCCCCTCTTCGAGGAATTTGCTCACATGGTCTTCGAAAGTTAGTCTCGGTCTACCTCGACACCTTTTAATATTTACTTTCGCGCTATATATTTTCTTCACCATTCGGTCTTCACTCATTCGCTCAACGTGCCTAAACCATCGGAGTACGCCCCTATCAATTTTTGTGATAAGGTCATCTTTTAATCCTGCGATATTGCGAATCTCTTTGTTTCGTTTTTGGTCGGCTATGGTAACGCCGCACATTTTACGAAGAGATCGCATCTCCACTGCATTCAACTTGCTTTTATGCTTCTTCTGGCATACCCAGGTTTCGCTGCCATATAACAAAGTCGGTATCAACACTGCGTTATGTATTGCAAGGCGTGCACTCTTCACTACGCCTTGCCTTTTGACTAACGCATTCAGGGCACCATTGACTTTGTTCCCGGCAGCGACACGCCTGTCCACATCTAAATCACATCTTCCATCCCGGCTGAAAGCACTCCCCAAGTATACAAATTTGTTTACCTGTTCTAGACATTCCTGATTTACCCATATTTCACATTTCGTTCTCTCTTCGTCCTTTTCAAAGACCAGAACCGTAGTTTTATTAGCATTCAAACGGAGACCTTTAATTTCACATTCCTCTTTCATACACGTGACTAATGCCTGCAGTTCTGTATGCTGATGGTGCAATAAGCATTGCATCATCAGCATACAGAAGACAATTTACTTTAATGTCACCCAAAATCACACCCAAACAGCTATTTTTCAGCTTCTGTAAACAGCTGTCGAGATACAGTATGAACAGCCAGGCAGACATGATACAACCCTGTTTTACGCCCGCTTGGACGCTAAACATGGGTGACAGGTCATGCCCTATCCGCACACAGGCTTTACAGTCATAGTAAAGTGACTGCACAGCCCTTAACAATCGACCATCCACACCATATTCCGGCAACAGTTCCCACATTTTCTTCCTTATAACCTTATCAAATGCTTTCTCCAGATCCACAAAAGCACAGAAAATCCTCTGGTTAACAGCCAGAAGCTTTTCCGTGATCATGCGGAGAGAAAAAATTTGATCCGTTCATCCTCTTCCAGGTCTAAATCGGCATTGTGCCTCCCATAATAATCTTTCCGATTCCTTTTGCATCCTACGTGTCAAAACCTTCGAGTAAACTTTACTTGCTAAATTGGTCAAGCTGATCGCCCGATAGCACCCGCAGTCAAAATGTGAACCTTTACCTTTATATAAAGTCACAATGACCGCGGATCGCCTGTCATCCGGGACACCTCCCGTCCGCCAGCACAAATTGCACAGCAGATGAAAGCTGTCCCAGACGCGAGGCCCACCGTACTTGACCATTTCAGCAGTAACTCTGTCTTGCAGCAGCCTTACCACATTTCAAACTTCGATTCGCACGTTCAATCTCTTTCATGCTGATGATCTCAGTGTCATCTAGGTCCGTGTTTGGCGTGCCAGTCACGGCGTCACCCCCGGATCCTTCACTAAGATCATGACACACATACATTTCTCTATAAAATTCGCTTCATCGCTGAATGACGTCCGATTTTTCTGAGAGGACGTCATTGGTTTTCGAAAGCACTTTGTTCATTCTTAAGACTGACAAACCCCTCCGGGACCTTCCAACCTCTTTCCAAAAGAGTGGAGTTTTCCTTAAAGTTGTGCGACAACCTTTCGTCCGCTTCTATTCTACACTTTTCACGTACTTCCTCAATCAATGTTTTCGCATGAATTTTCTGCAGCTTATATCTTTCTTTCATCTTCTCTCTCATATGCTTATCGTTACTAGAGGCTAAGTAGTCTAACCATGCTTTTTTCTTCTTTACAGCTTCTCTCACTTCATAATTCCACCATGCATCTCTTCTTTTACTACTACCTCTTTTTGTCGTTCCACATACTTCTTCCGCTGCACTTACCATTCCATCCCTAAGGTTCTGCCATGTTCTTTCCACACATTCTTTTCTGCCATCGATGGTGTCAAGCTTTTCGGCTACCCTCGTGTGATATTTGTCCTTAGTATCTGCTTCCTGAAGCTTCCAGCTTCGGATGCGACAGACCAACTGTGGTTCTGTTACTGCCGTCCGGTAGCGCCAACCCGCGAACAAACCCCTAAATCTAGTAATTACTAGATAGTGATCCGTTCCCAGGTCAGCACTCCAGAACACTCGTGTATCCATCACCTGTTTTCGCAGTCAGTCATCCACCAGGAACAAATCAATCATACTTCTCTCATTCTTTCTTTCTCTATTGTACATATGGATTTTCCTGTGATTAAACACAGTGTTTGTCACAAGAAGACCCCTTTCTTTGCATACAGCAGGTATAAGCTTGCCAGCATCATTAACCCATTTATCGCCAAACTTTCCAAGCACCGACTCGTACCTTGGTCGAGCGATACCTACCCATTCATTCAAATCACCACATACAACAGTTCTTTCGTTTCCCTTAACCAAATCTAGAACATCTCTTACATTCTACCAAAACTCCTACAGCTCAGCCCTGGACGACGAAGCTACCGGCGCATAAACAGCCAAAAGGAATAACTTCGTCAGTCCCAGTTTAAAGCGAACCCAGAGAAGTCTTGAGTTCACAACCTTATATTCAGTCATAAGATCGACCAACCGGGACGACAACAGCACCCCCACTCCCTGGCAGGCTTTCTCGCTTTCTGGGACTCCGGACCATATAGCTGACGTCCCGCCAGGGAGCTCTTCAGTACCACTGCCTTTCCGTTTGGTCTCCGACATACACACGACATCTAATTCTCTTTCCTTCATTATTTTGATCAACTCATTCGTCTTATCTCTCATGCCCCCTCTTACATTCCACGTGCCAACTCTGCACTCCGTCCTCCACCTTCCGCCGTGTCGGGCTGTGCGTGACGGGTGGCGGTCCCCATCGCCGCTTTGCGCGCTGCATTCCACACCAACGGGGACGAGCTGGTGTGCGTCGCCTTGGGGGAACGCCCTAACCCTTGTTTGCATGGGTGCGCAGCTGTGTAGAATTGCAGCCCTGAAAAGGGCGGGCAAGGGTCGCGACGAGCACGCTTCTACAATGACCCCCACTGTCTATACAGTAGAGGATTTTTGATAGGCTACAACAGTAATCATGAACCAATCATGAATGTTTATGAACGTTACTGTTGCAACCTCATCTACATACAAATTTCCAAGAAAACTTATTTATGTTTTTTATTGAAGTGAAACTTCTTTATCGACGAAGTGGAGAAATTTAGTACGGGTATTAAAAGACAAAAACGTTACGTTTTCTTGTAACGATTCACCGCCACGCTGCATGAGTATTTTTTTATAGGAGAGGTGGCAAACGAGCATGCGGCTCTCCTGATGGTGACTACCGCTGCCCATGAGCAACTGCAACTCCAGGGGAATTGCATGTGCATTGCTGGTCTTTTAAAGAGGAGTAAGCGTTTTTCTTGAATGTCCCTAAGTCGTATCGGTCCAGAAACCGGCTGTGATTAATCCGAACAATTCCTCAGAGCACTCCCCATGGTAGATGCGAAAGAAAACTATATAGATACTATAGAAACTATAAAGAAACATAATATATAAAGAAAAACACAATAACATAAACACAATCCACGATATAAAAAAACACTATATACAAAAGAGGTGCACCATTTCTTTGTATGTAGTGATATATTATATATTATAGTGTTATTTGACCTAATTATGTAAGATATAAAATAAAATAAGAATGATATGTCGTAACAGAGTTTCACTTAGTACGTGTGTACATAATTACAGGCACAATTTTTTCCCACAGATGCACACCGGAGTTATTGCCGACTTGGATAGATGAAAAATCATTTAGTTAGGATTTGCGTCATCACAGGTCCACTACTGATCATAAGCCTCCCCAAGGAATGGCATAAAGCACGGTCCCGATCTTCTTGCATCTCTTATAAGGTCGTCATTCCATCCAGAGGGGGACCGTACAATTCGCGTACTAGTGCGAGACTACCACTCGCGAAACTTTCTTCCCTATCGGCTGTCAGTTGACTCGGGCTATGTCGGTTACTATGGTTCTCCTGCGGATATCCACATTTCATCACGCAGAGAAATTCCGAGCATAGCTCTCTCCTCTCACCTAGCCAACACAGGCCTCTATTATATATATAGTGTATTTGCCATAGATAATAACAGGACGCCCATCTCCTGGTTTGTTCTTCCCTCTGTCGCCTCTTACGGCACACACGCGATGGTATGGGTTAGTGGACACTCTATCACCATCACTACCTGGTGAAATAATAAGATTATTTCGGGACATCAACGGAATTAAAACAAAAGCACACAATGAAACACAGTTTTGAAACAAATCATTATATTCTCTTAATAATAAAACAATTTGTACGCAGCGGCATAGACTTTGTTACAATGAAACACTCTAAATAATACAGATTGTAATTATATATCTATTAGAATTAGACGTGGTATATATTTTCAAATAAACTATCTCTTCTTATAATATAATGTTTCTATTAAGGCATTTTCTATATGTGAAGATAGTATATGTGCATA